AGAAATTGCTGGAACCAGCAATACAGTGCATTTGACTCTATACCGACACCGAAACCAGAAATTGCTGGAACCAGCAATACAGTGTTACGTGAGCTTACATGAACTTTATAGCACTAGCAGTAGTGCGATGTACTTTACTTTGCCTTCCAACATAATCAAACCACTGTAGAGCAAACATGGTATAACTACATTTACACCGCGCTACTGCTACGAGGGTTTGATGATGTCATAATTTATGAAAAAAAAGGGGGGATTCATGATTGACACCGCAACACATCGACTACCGTGTTATCTGGACATCTCTCAAATAAAAGGCTAAAAAAAAAGAAACGACGTCTTGGACCATTACTTTATAAATATATTTACTACACAGGGTCCCATTTGTTATCAGACTTATTGACACTGTCAAAAATGTTATAAACAGCCCCTTTTCTAGGATTTGACAGACTAAACAAATGAAAAAAAAAATCGGAATTACACATTTAAATAGATCTGCGCATTTGTGGTACTTACGTTGACCACTACGTGATATGTCGGCACTCGTGTAAATATACATGTATGTAATTATATATATATATACGCGTGATATGTTGGCACTCGTGTAAATATACATGCATGTAATTATATATATATATATATATTTACATAGGCATCAATGTACATATATGCAAGTATGTGTATATTTACACTGTATATTTGTCCATTATACAGTGTATACGTGTATGCACATTTATGTATATATTTGTATTCACAGTGTTTATAGAGTATCTGTATGTATATTTGTCCATTATACAGACATGTATCACATGACATGTCACATTTATGTATATATTTGTATTCACACATACATACATATATGCATATTTATATCGCATATGTATGTCTGTAAATATATATGTAATTGTGTGGTATATGTATAAGTGTATTTATATATGAAATGTATTATATCAAACGTATATACACGTTTGTAAAATATATGTATATCCAATATACATATATACACATATACACACATATATGTATATATTCATAAATAATGCAGACACATCCCATTTATATTTACACATATATGTCATATTTCGTATCTTTGAATACTAGCGCTCCTGCGTCCAATGAAGTCAACTGTCTGGATTGTTACGCCGACACGGCAGTTCCACAGATCGTAGCTGCTTCTCTGTAAATTCAGTGAATATATTGAAAGACTTGCATTGACGATGTGACAATATGACTTGTATTGCATTGTGTATAATGTATATAATGAATAAAGACTGTATTTTCTGTTTTAAGTTGTTGTCATTTTCATCAGCAGCAGGTGATAAAATAAGGTCTTTCATTTGGCCCAAAAAATAAATTTCATGATAAGAAACATAGCAGAGGATGGTTTCGATCCATCGACCTCTGGGTTATGGGCCCAGCACGCTTCCGCTGCTACAAGTGTGGCTCTACATTGTTTTGTTTTTTTGTATTGTATTTTTGTTTGTTTGTTTTTTTACCCTGCTTTTTGTTCACTGTTATAACCCTAAGCTTTTATTTCAAATTTGCCAATTCTTAAATTCATTTAAACCAGTGGTTTCAAACATATGGCTCGGGGGCCAAAAATAAAAAATAAATAAAAATAAAACAGTCCGCCATGTTTTTCATTCCAGATGAATTCTAAAAGTAAAAAATGCAAAAAGATTGATTTCTGGCAATTAAATAAAGAGATACCACCATACTGCGAGTACTACACAGAGATATGTGTAGATATCTAAAACAAGTCTACCTTCTCCAAATTAAATAGTTGAGAGAGAAATGTGTTACATTTACAGGACAGTATAAATCATCTACTGCGTAACAGTTTTTTTTGTTAAACACCGTTGGTGGTATGTGAGGTATGCTAACTGATAATGATATCAGACAGGACCAGGTCAATGTCAGGGAGTGGGACTTTGTCATTTCCTGCGTCCACTTCCTCATCTAGACTCATAGCTAGGGGTTTGCCAAAGTTTAAAAAAAAAAAAAAAAGTTATTTTGAAAACAGCTGTGACACTTTGGCCCAGAGGCAATGTCTCTGTCATTGGTGTGGAACCCCAGGGTTCACCTCCTGGTCAAGTTCGAATCCCGGTTAGGGCGGTTGGTACCTTCCAGTGGACTCACCACCTGCAGGAAGGTTCAGGGGGGTTGGTACGATGCAGTGTGATTTTGGGGGGGGGAGGCAGGACTGCACAGGGATGCTACTGCTGTTCCGAGCAGATCCAAACAGGCAACAGCAAAAACGAGAGCGAGAATTAAAAATGGCCTCCTTTACAATATTCTTATCAGATTTTCATTTTACTCCTCCTTCAACCAATCAGATTTTAGCCAGTTAAACATATACAGCATTGGACAATATGCTGTGATACATTTCCAAATGTACCTGCCATTGTAATTGCGCTGTGTCACCCCTAGGGGGCACCGCCTTCTTTGGGAACCTCTGCCATACAGTATAGGGCAAATGTAATGCAAGATGGTCGCTTTGGTCTTGTTGTTTAGGTTGAAAAAATTGATCCGTCATAGGTTCATTGCCTGTCGTGGTCACGCTTCAGCAGTGGGCGGACAATCGCTGCTTTAACGTTCACCTTGACGTCGGACCATCAACCTCATCAACCTCTGCTCCGACGCAACAACGTTAAGGGCCCCACACACAGACGCTCCCACTCACTCTATTGCCACCTACTGTACTAGAGTGTGTATTTGATGTCGGACCATCAATCACACACAGACGCTCCCACTCACTCTATTGCCACCTACTGTACTAGAGTGTGTAGTGTCATGGTACGACCAGTGACTTTTCCAGATAACGCAGATGTGGATTCTGTTCCTACACCGGAACTAATGCTAGCAACTTCTTTCTGCTGGAGCCGGTTTGGTTGTTATTAATGTTTGTTGTGAACCTTATTTTTGCGACCTTGAGAAGCTCTTTTTGTGACAAGCCAATGAGGTATTTTCTTTCTTCTTGAGAAATGCACTTCAAAACACCTGTGTCGGTGTTCACAGTGGTCCATCACGAACTGACCGCGTTCGTGCCTGAGCACATTTTTCACAAATGAGAAAGATCTCGATGTGCCAACTAGCGCAGGAATTCTCAATGTCTTTGGAATTTGGTTTCTTTTTCAATTCGACCCAGTAAGGGCGGACGTTGGGATCAGTAATGATGGAGCATTGCAGAGATTTCCAGGCGTAACAAAGGTGCCTTCAGTCTTAACGGGTAAATGTGCAAGAGGCTCTGTGAGGTGGAGGGTTCAGGGTCCAGTGAAGGACGTTAGCTGACTCCACATGGTGGTGAATCTCCAGGTGGTGTTTTATTTAAGTGGCAGTGGTGGCAAAATCCCAGGTAAAAAAACAAAAACCAAAACAAAACATACAAAACCAAGACAGTGAACAAGAACCAAAAAACTAAACAAAACAAAGAGCAAAAAACAGGGAGTAATTCAAAACATGAGAAAATCCAAACAAGTTAGCCAAACAACAAAGGAAGTGACCACCAGCAGTAAGACGCTGTGGCACTGAACCCATGTGGAGCTGGAGCTTATATACTGCCTTTCCTCAATTGGAGGCCACGCCCCCTAGTGCTCTGGCTCGTCAGCTGCAGATTCAGTGCAGCTGCAGAGAGTGACAACAAAAAAACCCCCCACAAACACCACACTGTCCTTCTATTCAGCTAAACGTCACAGTAAAGACAGTAAACATGGCAAAAAAAATGTATGTTTCTGTAAAATACAAACATATATACATACATATAGCAATTTATATAAGTTTTTATACTGTATATATATGTTATATTTTATATGATATATTTATGGGTTTCTTTGTCAACTGAACCTAAACTAGTCGGTTAATTGTCACACAACCCGACTATGTAGGTGATTCAAAACCCAATATTTTATCAGCTCAAGGTTTCAGAAGATTTTCATTGAGCAAAGACGAGACAACAGTTCCATCTGGTTAATGTGTTTTTTTTTTAGGAAGCGTTAGAAAGACCTCGAAGGGTCTTTCCGATCAACCGCGCGCCCTTCGCGACAAACAAACACATCGGTGAAAGTGTGGGATTTATTGTTTGAAAAACCTTGTGAATGAACTGGTTATACAGTGAACCCAACACATCCTGCCTACATGGCAAATTGTTTTGATGCAAAATATATTTCTATGTACTGAAAATGATGTACTATATATTTAGCACCTTGGAAAGGATTCTATGTACAGTATATATACACACACACATATATATACATATATCTAAATATATATGTATATACAGCTGGTCCTCCCTTAACGATGTATTTGTTTAACCACTACTCAGAGTTACGACAAATCTTAAAGTATTTACCCCTGCTGACAGGTTACCACGGACTAGAATCTCTAGTTCGGCTTCGCTGTAGTTTCATTTTTGTCACTTGTTCATGTTTAATTGTCGTTCAGATCGTGAAAATCCAGGGCCTTTTTTTACATTAATTTTGCATATTTATATAAGGTCGTGTTTTGGCACTTTGACGTTTGTGCTTAATTCAACACCGATGTACTTGGGTCCACGAGTTCGCACACTTTGATAGATTCGATTTTTTGGTGCATTCACCATGTTTCTGTACGAAATTGAGGCCCCAGATGTTCCGGTTTAATAGCGGGTCACAACCAATGTTTTTATGGCGCCACCTGCTGTACAAGAGTGTGTATTCTCATGGTAATTACAATCTAATTACAATCACAGGAAAGCCATCGATCTAGACATAAAAATGAAAATAATTCGGGAGTATAATTTAGGTAAGAAGGTCCAAGCGATCGCACATTCGACAATCTCTACCATCGCAAAAAAAATGGCTAATTTGTTGTTCGGTGGGGTATTCGTTTAACAACCGGGTTTTCGAAATGTAACTCAGTGAGGACCAGCTAAACATATACATATACATATATATGTATATTTAGCTTTTAGCTTCTGCTACGTTGTTGGCTTTCCTTTAAAAGTTGCCTTGCCTTGCCTTGAGAAATGTTCATTTATTCACACAGAAACACTGCAAGTCGCTCAATACAACACATATTTAGCAACAAAGCTAAAAGGCAAAAAAATATATAACTCAACTCAGGTGTTCCACCTCCAAAGTACAGGACCTGTTGTAGGATTTCTCCTGCGCTCTGTCTTTTACTGAAGAACTAAAAGAGTACTAGAAAATGTGAAAACTTGTAGACTAGTCTACAGTTATGTTGCTCGTGCGCTCAAGGATACTGATTGTCCAAAACATCATTAACTGAATGTCCGCGACGGTGGGGTCGTTTTTTTTAGCACATCATAAATATATTGTAGAATAACTCCATTTAAATAGTGGGGACGGTCCTATCTACTGAAGCTTTAGGGACAAAATCCCTGGGTCAAAAAGGGACATGGCAGTTTGCGAGTGAGTGGGCTGGGTCAGCGTCTTCTCCGACTGTCTACAGGTGAGTGTCCTCCTCATCGGGAATGTCCTCTTTCAGCAGGTTCTCTATGGGAACGATCCAGCTGTCGTTAAACTCCCTGTTCAATTTCTTCTCCTGCATCTCCGGTTGAACCTCCATTATGTCCAGCATGGGGTTGTCGTGGTAACCATTTTCCACCGTCTGCATCTCCTCCGTGAGCTGTTGCTGTAGAAAAAACTGGGGTCACATTTGGGGTAATTTTCAGTTGTGTTGTTTTTTTGTAAAAAAAAAAAAAAAAAAACTTTCATAAACCGTTCGTCTGTTGGAAGGGTACTTTTAATAGAAATATTCAGTTTCACATCACTTACATTGTTATATCGATGCTGTTGAATTTATTAAGAGGTTCTTTCCTAAACACCGGATTTTTATTAATGAAAACTATGTCCTCTGAGTCAGAGCCAGTCGTTGGTAGTATCAGTAATACTCGATCCAGGTGTCTGATGGCTACACCGAGACACCAAATGAACAATGAAAAATATTCTCTTCTTTTACAGAATTGATATACTTTAATGAATACGCAAAATATATTCTGTAATATATTTGCGACATCTTGCCAATAGCCACTCTAGGAAGCTAGGTGAGAAGTTTCACATCCACCCACCCATCCATCCAATCACCCATCCAATCAGCCGTCCATCCATCCATCCAATCACCTATCCAATCACCTGTCCATCCATCCATCCATCCAATCACCCATCCATCCATCCAATCACCCATCCATCCATCCAATCACCCATCCAATCACCCGTCCATCCATCCATCCAATCACCTATCCAATCACCTGTCCATCCATCCATCCATCTATCCATCCATCCATCCATCCATCCATCCATCCATCCATCCAATCACCTATCCAATCACCTGTCCATCCATCCATCCATCCGTCCGTCCGTCCACCTCATCGACACATTCTCTTTGTACCAGAGACCTCTGTTTGTCACTGACCTGGTTTTCTTTGTATGGCCTACGGTGGTGAGAAGCACAAATGGCGAGGATGAAGATCATAACAAGGAGAGCGCCACAGGAGGCCAGAATGGCTATTAGCGTTTTATTATCCGTCGGTTTCTTTAAGGAGAAAACACACATACAAAAAAATGATTTTTTTCCGATAATTATACCAGTATCAATACTTTGTTTAAGTGCTACCATTATGAGACAAAGTTGTCTTGATCCAGAGAGTCACTGCCCTCTTCTGGTCACTGGTCATGTGACGTGAATGGATCAGTTACATTTTACCTTAAGGGGACGCTGTCGCAGCACAAAGGCCTGTATGTAGTGAGTTACCATAAAAGATGTGAAAATGACTGCTTTGTACAGTTATTCATTAGTATCGATACTTTTTAAGAGTAACTGATAGTATATCGATACTCGTGTGTATCAATATATCAAATTGAAATTTGTTGCAAATTTGTTTCCACATAACAGGTCCCACTTTGTCCCACATGAACATCATCTTTGTCGAATATTTTGTTAATTGCGATCCACTCGCCCTCCATGTACAGTACAATACATTATCAATGACTGTATCCATCGATATCTTTATTAGCGTCATAAATAAAAAAACATGTAGCGAGGAGTTAGCGCTTACCTTAGAGACTTCGTCATAATACTGCTGTATAACATTGGGCTTCACTGTAGAGAAAACAACGTGTTCTGGTTTTTTACTCAGCAAACCCAAAAGTATTTGTCAGAGATACGTGCTGAAACATTTTATGCGCACTACATCTGTACTCATCGTTGTGACGGCGGTGCTTTACCTATGCCTTCTATAACTGGAGCTCCAAACAGTTTTCGTCCATTTTGTTCTCTCCAGGTTAACGTGCAGCTTCCATTGTCCATATTTGCCATCAGACGTTTACACAGCTCTGTCAGTTCTTTGTCTCCCTCTACCTGAAAGTATAGTAATACTATACTATGTTAAAAATGCTGATATTTCACAGGTAACAAAACCTGCTCTGCTGCCATCTAGTGACTGAAGGGTTATTTATCGTGCCATTACCACTACGTTTACTACCGTATTTACCCGAATATAGGACGACCCTGATTATAAAATGAGCCCTCCTCTCTGACCAATATTTACTTTGTTTAAAGCTGACGCCCCCTGCTGTTGTGGTCGTGTAGCGTCATTTAGAGATAAAATTGCTTTACTGGAGTTGACAGCAAAAAAGAGTGCGCTATTTTTGGTGTGAAAACTGTGACAGTTACATCAGGGAGGACACGTCTGGAGAACTGCGAAGAGGTGTGGGAACTAAGGAAACTGGTGAAACACAGGAAGGGTTTCACTCAGAGATACTGTTCAGCAGTTTGGCAACAAAAAAATTTGATTGCTGACTCTGCTGCTTCCTGTAGCTAATCAAATCTTGGACAGTGGAAGGACCGTCACGGCTATGGTGTCGTTAAATTCAGGACTCTAATCCGAGGGTGACTTAAGGCATAGACCAGGGGTCACCAACCCCCGGTCCGGAGGTCATTTGGTACCAGGCCGCAGTAGAACACACTGACAAAATGTATTTCAGTTTCACTGATGTACTTCATTCAAAAAGAATCCAGTCATATCCCTTTACTTATTTTCATTAAAAATCTCTAGTCTAGTCTCTAGTCTTGGTTTATTGGTCTAGTCTTGGTAGTCTTGGTATATTATGTGTATATTACCTTTATATACTGCGTTACTGCCTCTGAACTGGTAGTTGGTCGAACGGCTGTATACGCAAGTAAATCATCTCATTAAAAAGCAGTATGAGTTTACTTACTTGACTGTCATCCCTCATAAATTTTAACTCCTTTATTTGAAGCTAGAGACGGCGCGATCCGATACTTGGGATCGGTCCGATATTGGTCAAAATGTAAGGATCAAACATCGAACAAAAACATCTATAGTCCTTTCGATCTGATACCTAATCCCAAATACTCAGCTTAACTTTGCACCACATGCCGACACTATCACCTCAGCAACGGCAGCCCGCGGCCCCCCAGAGGACAAAAAGGGTACAGATACAAGTTGCAGTATTAATATCGGAATCAAAACCCTAATGTGCACATTTTAACACATTGGAGAAACCCCGTTCTCTTCCACATACATTAAATTTTAGTATATGAACGTCCCAGATCGCCTATTTTAAAAATGAATAATTAGATACATTTTAATGTTAAATGTAAATCAAACGTTTAAACTTACCTGATGTTTGCTGTTTAAGGAATACTGTAAGAAAAGTCAAACAAAAGTTCAGTTAGTCCAAAGCAATGATACGGTATTTCTGATTTACGGTTTGTTTTGTGTTCTGCATTGTATAATATATGATAATCAATATTCACTATTTTCAGTATTGAAGTCACTATTACTGCACATTGAGCTACTTGTGACTTTCACAGTAAATCGCAGACAAGAAGTTGTTTAAAAAATCCAAATTTCACAAATCAAAATCCAAGTTCCTGCCAAGGTTTGATACAATATTCATCTGTCAACTGTATATATACGTATATATATATACATACTGTATATACTGTATAAATAAAAATATATTTATACACCTACATGCAAATATATGTAATTTTACAAAATATATATATATGTTTCATCAAGCAGGCCAGATTGTACTGCCTAGTGGGCTGGTTTTGGCCCTCGAGCTGTATGTTTGACACTCCCAGTCTATTGTTTATGGGGGATCTGGGAGTGTCAGTAGTATTACTGTACCCTAACACTAAGTACAAATATTATAATTCTCTTTTTTTGCTTAGTTATACCTGATAGAACCCTGATTCCTCCTCTTACCTTAAATGTCTTATCGGGGTTTGTGGTAGTGGCCATGGAGGTGGTGGTTTGCAAGGCTGATTTTTGAAGGATGATTGCACTTGGAGTTGTAGCTGGAACAAAACTGTCAACTGGTGTTGTCTGCTCAGGCGTAGTTGTTTGTTCTGTATCACAGAAAAGAGACTACATTTAACCCACAGAAATAAGCATGCGGGGGAAGTTTCACTAATTTCACCAGTATGATTCCCGATAACTCAGAATGGCATTGAACTCCAACTGAGTTTATCGCGGTAGTTTCGTTCCAAGACCCACCGCGAAATGGTAAAAATCAGTTTTTCGGGGTTTGCCCTCTAACCATTTCTCTACCCATTAGCGATACAGTAATCCCTCTCCTATAGAGTAACCTAACCGAGTACGCATTGTATTAGCCAATAGTATGCTGTGTATAATCTCGTCTTGGTAAACAAAGCTACCACTAATCGTTCGCAAATGCGCTTATATCCATTTAAAAAAATAATCCACATTTTTAAAGCCAAAACGTTCGTATCTATAATTATGTTTTTTAGTTGTTTTTTTTTTCTTTGCTATATTTTGAGATAAAGCGAAGATTTCGCGAGATTGGATTAAAAAAATCCTTTTCACCAATGTAAAGAAAGTAATCAATTTGACCTACCTTCTTTTCTGTTTGTACTAGCGTCCACTGAAAAAGTCGTGGACTGTCGTACCGCTGTGCTATCCGTTGAAACCTCGAGGGTTGGAACCTTGGCGGTTGGAACCTTGGGGGTTGGAACCTTGGGTGTTGAAACCTCGGGGGTTGGAACCTTGGGTGTTGTAACCTTCAGGTTAGATGTTTTTGTAAGGTCGGGCTGTCCTGTTTGAAGAGTGGTGGGCATGGAGCTGGAGGGTGTGGTGACAATGGCAGGACTAGTTGTCGGCTCATTTCCGGTCTTGACTACTGCGATGCTGGTGGAGGTGACCAGTGGAGGTGAAGCGGTAGATGTGGCTATTTCAACTGGAACTGTACCAGTAGTGGGGGCATCAGTGATGCCTGGATGCGTGATGGGGCCAGCACTGGATGTCCCTGTCTGGGTAGTTTGAGGATCTGTTCTAGATGTCGCCGCAGTTTTGACAGTTTTGACACCTAAGATTAATGTTGTTGACACCTCACTCGCAGATGCGGTAGTAGTGAGGTCAGTGGCAACCGGGACGGAAGTCACAGATGAGTTCTGCGCGAAGACACAGCAGAACAGAAAGCCTGAAAAAGAAAAAAAAAATAAGATGTAAGTAAAGTTATAAAATTACTCACAAAATAGTTGAAAAGACTGAGCCATCGGTGAAAACTAGTGATGCCCGATAAGATCTGTCTCAGCCCAATATTAGCATAATTATGTAATATCTTTAAGAATCGTTATTGTTTTTTCCTCCGATAATAAAAACCCAATAATGCAAAACTAAAAATAGTTTTGGGGAAAAACGGCTGTATATGAAAATGACAGTCACTAGATGGCAGCATTGCAGCTTATTTTATTAATCTATTGTAGTAATCAAGGGATAATGGGTGGCAGATGATATATACTGTGTATATATATATATATATGTATATGTATGTATGTGTGTTGTAGTGATAATTTACTGTATGAATTAAATCATTTTATGCCATGCAGTCATGCATGTATTCAGTATCCCAAAAATATTCTATAAAATATTTTATATGCAATATTTATGAGTTAATATATATATAAGTTTATATATTCTCTATGTATATATTTATATATACATGTAAACACATAGTACATACAGTACATACATACACATATATGGATATATGTATATGTAGGTATGTATGTATATATATATATGTTTATATATTGTATATATTTATATATACACATACAGTACATATTTACATAACATGTATGTGTATATATATATTTATATATGGTAATGCATTCACAGGTGTTCATTATTTGTACTTTTATTCTCACTCTACAGTGTTTTTGAGGCTCCTATAAATAAAATATATTCATCATCATCATCACAGAGTCCTTTTTTTAACTTGCCGCCCCCCGCCCAGGGTTACAACATTGGATTATCTGCGTACGTGGCATGTCCTTTGCTTGTTTTGCTCTTACTCCCACATTTTCTATCCTCCTTAAGTCCATCAATCTTCTCTGGGATCTCCTTCCACTCCTCCTGCCTGGCAGCTCCATCTCCTCCGTCCATCTGTCCTTAGCACGTGTCCAAAGCATCTGGACCTTATGTTGACCTTGACTGTGTAACTATAACTCCAGATTGTTGAATCTAAACTGTTGCTCTGATCTTCTTATTTTGAATTTTTTCAACCTTAGTTACTCCCAAAGCAAATCTCTGCGTCAGCGCCTGCTCGACTACCACACACTGCGTTCAATCAAACGCATCTTCATCAAACTTAACTGTTGTAAGTCTTTTCACTGCCCATGTTTTTAGACAACACCTTTGAGAAACCGTCTTGTCCTTTCCTCCTACCGCTAACCTGAAGTTACCCAAGACACAAATGAACTCTTAACTAAATATTTTTTTAAAAAGCATTGCGGAGTGAGTGTTGGTGAAGGTCACTGCGGGGAATTCTGTTGATCCAATATCATTTGCAGGTCCAATACAAAAAGCAGGATAAATATGTTTTTACTGTGTTGTAGTATTATGTGGGTTGTATTCTTTTACATACATATTACTATAAGCATATAGTAACTCAAATTGTGTGGTTTTTGAAGAGCGCTGTATTAAACAGATGATTTTAGCAAGATAGCATTTACATAAACTCATCTAAATTTACATCTTTGGTTTTGGCCGAATATTACAGGACACTGAGGACAGTACTCTACACTACACTACAACAGTGGACAAATTACTTTTTTGTCTGATACCGATATGTGTGACTGTTTTTAAATCAATGACAAATACTGGCCGTAAGCAAACTTAAGATGTATTAGTCATCATCAAATGACATTACTTTATTTTACACAAGGTAACCTCAGTAGCTACCTTCATGAGGCAAAGATTTCATCATCAAAAAATATCATATTTTTCACATCTTTGATCGACTTACATCCTGATCATAAAGGTTAAAGTACTAAGATCAATCAAATATTTGGTGTAGTAATTTACACTTTTTTATTAATTAACTAGTATCAATACTTTATGACAGTAATTGATACTCGTGTGAGTATCAATATATCAATACCACCTAATCAATTCACCCATCACTAGAAGGAATCAACCCAGTGAGCGTGCACAAACATAGTGAATGAAGTGATGTAGTGGCGTAGTACCAACTCTCGTTAACTACAGAAACCCAGAGTTGATGTTTGTGAAAGGTCTTATCACCAAGGGTTGAAGCTCTGCAGGGCAGGAGCGTCACGGTCCGTGGCCGTACCAGTCACTATCATGATTTCCTAAGACTTCAGTATGAGCACGGCAGGAGGAGTAACAGTTCGGAGAACAACAACTCCTCAGGCGTCAGAGCGCCACCTAAATGTTGAAACCAGGCTGTCTAATATGTTTGTGCTTTACAAACAAAAGAAAAAGAATGGATGGATGGAGATAGATAGATTTAGTTTCAACAAGATCTAATATATAAAATATAATCATGTTATTACTATATATAATATTAGCTGTAGGAACGATTCTGTTCATTACATACATCATTGTTCAATACATGCTGTATATTAACAAGCATAGTGTGGATATAGTGCAAATAAATAAATATAATAAATAAAATATATGTGTACATATATAAAAACATATGTACATACATACCTACATAAAATGAATATACACACATGAAGAAGCATAGTCTGAGTATATATTGACACAGACATTGTGGGTATTGCACAGTATTATATGCACATTCACCGAACTCTTCGGTGATGGCCAAGCGGGGGGGCATGTCATTATGACTCATATGAGTCTCGTCCTCCGCCGAACCCCCGAGACTGACTCACCAAATCCCCAGGTTAAGATCCACTGTTATAGAGTTATTATACATGCTGCCTTCCCCACCAGTCACTACTGCTGTTCCCCAGTGAAGACTGGAACAGTTAGGTTGTCCCTCGGACAACAACGTGTTTGAGAGCTTAGTGAATTAGTGTTAGTGAATTGATAGAGTATTTCTTGTTTTTTTGGTTATATATTATATATATAACAAACAAAATATATAATTATCTTTGGGTTCTTTATTATACAATACATTAAAATACATTTTAATGAGTTATTAAATGTGACTATAAATTATGTTTTGTATATTTGTAATCTATTCAACAACTAAAATAGTTGAAGCCAAACGGTTTGTCTCAAAATACCACAGTTAAGCAGAGTACTCTCTTGGTGTATTTTGATTGGCACTCACATGGTGGCAGCAGTACAGCATTACACGCAGTGTTGTGAAGTAGGTACAACTTTAGAACACAACAGTCACACCAGCCCCAGCAGGTACACTGGTCTAGTCAGTGGACGAAGTGGAAATCAAGACAAAAGTATATGTTGTTTACAAAAAATATATACTAGTTAAAGAGGACTGTGACATACAGAGTACACAGATGTACTAGCTGTGATGTGTTTTACTCTGTTTTAAAAAATATATATTTTATGTATCCTGTGGTTAATTTCTCTGCTCTCGATGATTCACAGCCACAGTGTAGTAAGTAAAGCAGTATCTGTACTGTAGTTACAACTAGTTTTCTACTTTAATACACTGCTTTAAATACTTCAACTTTGGTCGAAACATCAGTGGCGCTGCGTTAACCTGATGCTGCACCGTGCTAAAGCTCACGAGGCAGTGATGCTGCTGCTGCTGCTGCATGACATTCATCCTAAAATGTCTTTGTCGTTAAAAAAATAAAATAAAATAAAATAAAACAAAGACATAAAAAACACGAGGACCGGAGATAACTCACAAAACATAACACAAAACTGTGACTCCAGATTTTAGAAAGTAGCTCAAAAAGAGAGGACTTACTGAGTGAAAGTAAGAACCAAACGATCCTCATTGTCCTCCCGTTTGTTGGTTAATTCTTCTTGGTCCTTGAAGAGTTCATGCGTTCATTAAACTTCTACTCGAGAACTGTCCCGTCACGTCTTTCGACTTAATTCTGTCAAGGCAAAACGCGTTTCTATTTTGTCTTTTTAACCTGAATCACAGGAATGCTTTTGTTTGTCTCCTTTTGTGGATTTGGAAGTGTTTCTATGGTTTCCTTGGCTGCACAGTTGTAGCTCAGTGTCTTTCACTCCCCCCAGTATCTCCACCCTGCTCCCTCCCCACGACCCTCCATTCCACACTCCCTCCCTCTCCCACAGCAGCCCACACTATATTGTTCCCTTTCCCACTGACCAATGCAGAGAACCAAAGGCACTTATCATTCAACCGGTCCATCCTAGCTGCTGCGGCAGAGTCGTCGCAGCTGTGTTAGCAGATAAACCTGGAAGTCAACAAAGGAACTTCATACATGACGTGACACATTATTCGATGTATTGCTGGCTGGATTTCAGGTCACGTGGCCTTATCTAAGACCGTAACTTTTTTTGCCTTCAAATTACGGTACAAAACAACAGAAGTTTGATTGTGGACATGTACAATAAAAATATTTCCATCTCATAAATGGAGCGGCACGGAGCAGACGCACTAGTTGTTGGAAAGAGTTTGTTGGTTTAGAACAGGGGTGACCAATATGTAGATCGCAAAAAATGTGTTGGAAGGTCATGAGCTATTAAAATAAATCATTTAAATATCAAGATAATTCTGAAGTGTGTTGTAGTGATCATATACTTTATGAATTAATCAATACCTCAACATATGTACATATAAAGTGTGAGTAAATATATATTTAACGTTAAGTGTGTTAAGTGTGTGTGTTAAGTGTGAGTAAATATATATTTAACGTTTTCAATGTAGGTAGATCACTTTATCCTGGGTATTTGAATAGTTTCTCCCAAGCCAAAAAAGTATGGACACCTGTGGTTTAGAAAATGGCATATCTATCTGGGTCATACCAACCTCCACCTCCACCTCCATGTCCACCTCCACCCCCCGAGTAAACATTATGTGACTGCACCGACTCCACGTGCTCTTTGAATAGTGTCTAACTGGAAACTTTACAGCTGCCTCCCCCCCTGCCCCCCCCCCTACAAACAAAAATGGGTCAACCATTTATTTTATTAAGATTAGGATTATTTGGACAACAACACTTCAAAAAACTTCATTAGTCCTAGCGATATTAGGAAGGAAAAACATTTCAAACTTCATGTTCTACCAGAAAGGCCCGTCGTTAAGGTTTTTCCACGCAGTCAATTCTTCATTAAATGTCGTGGAACAATCTTACGGAACAAATATTAGCGCTTGTCAGAGCTTCAGATGACACCGCCAGGGTGCAAATATAAACTAATACAGATCCTTCCTAAACTGATTAGTAGTTTTTGCTAAGTACATCCGATGGTTTAGTTTTTCTCTGAATGTGATCATTGTATGAACGACTACAGCAGTGATCAACATATACATACATGCATACTAACAGTATATATGTTAATATATTTATATATATGTTTTACTGTTACTTGCAATAGTTTGTAGTATGACATTATTCTATCCACAGAGGTAAATGTCCAGCTCTAAAGACAGGAAAAAATACTGCTCCGCCTGAATATGTACAACATATATTTCGATAATGTTCTTACAAAGTGCGACTGATAGCAGAAAGCTGGCCACATAGTAAAAAAAAAAATCAAAATGAAACTAATTTCAGACTTTATCCTGTTAGTACTGTCTGAAAGATATTATTTTGGAAAAATTACATAAATTACTAATTATTTCAATACGGTCCACTGTGGACCACTAGCAGTCCACGGACCAGGGGTTAGGGACCCCTGAGTTAAGGAATATGTTTTTACATATGTTCCTTGTGTCCTGGCCAAGCACACACAGACAGAAGCATGGAATGATGCTGTTCCACTTGGTACCAGGCTTCTGATAACAAGGTGTGAGGAATGCTCTCTGTCCGTCCATTTATCTCGTGGACAGAGACACTCTGTGTATAGAACTAAAATTCTTCTCCTCTGCTCTCAGCGCTGCAAAATATGATTCTGCAAGTTTTACTGAACTCCCTTTATTTGTGTATAACACATCAGTGACGTTACTTCTGATTTGACATCATGGAGGCTACTAAAACTCTGTGGTATTTGGCAGTATTTTGGAACATCAGCCTACAGCAGGGGTCACCAGCTATATTTTTTGGAGGGTCAGAATTTTTTTGGACAGACACCTTGGGGTCAGACCCTGAAATAAAAATCACTTTTTTTTTCTTTTTTTTCTTTTTGATTCTTACAAATTCACCAGTTAGTCGCGGGCTGTATGGCACTGTCCGGTTGGCCGGATTCCACGGACCACCAGTTGATAATCACTACCCCAGACTCTTCCCTGGAACACCGTGACCTCACAAATATTTGGTGTATTTGAAGAATACAAGAGTTAGATTCTGTTCTATTATTTTTTTGAATTGTCGATTGTACTAGTAGTAGTAATGGTAGTGGTGCTGTAGGAGTATTTGTGTCAGTATTACTTACGTACCATAACTCAGTCAAGTCAACAATACCACACAGACACCAAGTGATCACTGAGTGATCACTGTGTGTGGTGTCAGTCTTGCCCGTGCTTGGAGTATACACGGTAAGAACTGCTGTCTGATATTGCCAGTATTTCTTGCGCTGTGCTATTTCTTAAGAACCATTGAACGTGGAAAGGCGGAAAGAAAAAAAAATGAGAACAACAATAGAAGTGAAGAAAGAGATTATAAGAAAGCATGGCATTAGAATGACGGCTTAGCGTATGGCTTAGCAAAATTGTCGATTTGAACCAACCCCCACAAAGTTGAATAAGCTATCATCCATCCAATTTATCCATTTGACATTGATTCCTATGAGGAAATTGTTTCTATTTTCGAACTTTTCGGTTCATAAACAGGCTTCAGGAACGAATTAAATTGGAAAACCAAGGATCCACTGTACTTTGAAATTTTAACCCTATCATCTCCATAAGCCCTGGGCGACAGAAGAATGCGCTCCCTGTACAGCAAGTACCCATCAACGACTGCCCTGCCCTGGAAGGAATGATAAGGAGGCCAGAACAGTTTGTCTCCCTTCGTCCTTATCATTCACCAACCAGAGACACAAATACTCAGTGAAGCGTCAAAGATGGCAGTAAATTCCAGCTGTATTTTTATACACACAAATATATATATATTATATTTTTTATAATGTCATCAAGCTTTGATACAGTAATTATTAAAATATACATATATACAGTATATATGATTATATATATTAGGGGTCTAAGAAAATACACTCCGTATGTGGGTATATATTAACATTTAATGATCTAAGAAATGCTTGCCTTATAATAAAAAAAAACCAAACATTTGTTTAATATTGGGCCTCCCAGAAAGCAGATTTGCCGTCTAGAATGATGTCATCTAATGTGATGTTCTTTTAGACGTCCAGGGCGGAGTACAATCAATCCAGTTTTTTTCTGAGTTTGAGAGTAGGAAGTTACAGGGCATCCGGGTCTTTACAATATTCCTGGAGAACAAAACTGTTTTTTTTTTGGATATTCCTGGAGAACAAAACTTTTTTTTTGTTTCATTTGGATGGATGAGTAAATATAGTTGTCTGTTATCTGCATAACAATGGACGTTTATATATAAGTTTTCTAATACTACTTCGGAGGAATGTATTGAGAGAACAGGATTGGTTCAAACACTGAACCTTGGGGAACTCCCCAATTTACCTAATTTTCCCAGGACCTTAATTTAGAACATTACATTTATAATGAATGGTGTTATGTGTGAAAAAATGTTAGTCATTATATAAGCTAAAAGAAAACTGTTACTTTACTATACTATAAAGTATTATAGTTTGGCCTTATTTTTTGTGAAACTTTTCTTTTTCAGTATGTGCTTCAGAAGAAGCCACACTCAGACTTAAAGCTCATGTTTTATGTGAGTGTTTGCTCTTGCTGTCTAACAAATAACAAAGAAAAGGGTGTAGCGGAGGATGACCTGCCAAAGGGTAAACTAATGAAAAGGAGGAAAAGGAAAGGGAGGAGATTGTGTGTCTTTTTTGGGAGTCTCTCTTCAGACAGACCACTCCCGTACCTCCTTGTTTTTCTGAAAGAGATGTAAGAAGTCTGTAGCTAAGAAGGCTGCTGTGTGATGATTGTTCACAATGTGGGAGCG